ATTTGAATTTTATTTCAAATTTTGAAAAATTAATTCTTTTAAATAAATTCATTATTTGACATAAAATCGTTCTTGTCCGCAATAAGCATATTTGAAATGTGATTTAAGATTGAATTAGCGCATTGACGAGGAACACAAAGTGGGCAAATGTGCTTAGGCGTGCGTCGATCGTTTATTGTAGAGTTTTAAGAGGTCTGATCTCTCATCGCACGAGCCGTGAAACGTTTCTCTTTTCCGATTAGCGAAACATGCCGCGTTAATCACGCCTCGGCGAAGCTCACGTCTGAAAGTTGGCCACTTTCCGCTTGCCATTTCGCGTTCGCCACTGTGTTCGCCTAAAGAGGAGGGAAGGTGCCTCTTTCTCCTCGATCTCGATGGCGAGAATCAATTGCGTGGCACGCACGAGTAGACTGCGCGCGCGAGTTTACCTACGCGTTTTTCCGTCATGTAAGTGTAGCATTGTTTCCTCCGATCGTTGTCAAGAGTCCACGACTCACGTGACGCATGAATTTGATCCCGCAATAGTCCCTCTACCCATGACCATGGGGGATGGTAGTAGACCCCGAAGTCAAGGGTCTTCCCTTACCGAGTGTTTTTCTTTCTTTCTTTTTTATTTTTTTATTTCTTTCGTTCGGGTGACTCTCGTGGAGTCAGAAGGGCACGTGGGTAACAGAAACTTTCGAGAGAAAAAAGAGGGAGAAGGGGGGGGGGAGGGAGAGGAGAGAGAGAAAATCTCTTGCTATCCTTCTTTCTCCTAGTTTACAGCCGAAATTGTTCCGCTCTTCGGGATCTTTTGTTTCTCCGGTCTTGTTATTCTTACCGGCTGCATTCGACGATCCTTTCTTTCGACCTGATCGCGCGACGATTGAAAGTAAACTACCGATACGCCCGTCACAATGCCGTGAACTCGCAATAAGCGCGGTGGTATTGTTGCGGCCGCGCACGTTCGCGCACAATGTCGTTCTCTCGCGGTCTTTAAAGCGTTTAGCTAAGTGCGCACTGCCATTATCGACGTTAATAAACACCCTTCCTCTTGCCCGTCAATCGTCCACTCGACTACGAATCGTACGTTGTTCCTTGTATTCCCGCTTGAAGATGCGTCGCGCTCCAACGATTGCAAATCATCTCAGTTCCGATTTTATAAAACTTTCAAGCAATAAGAAACACATGATACCATTTGAATTTGAGGTGATAATAGTAATTTAATGAAAGATAAAACAAAAATATAAAGTGTAAAATCTCTCTCTCTCTATTTCTGATATATATACATATACTGGCAAAAATTAGTTAAGAAAAATAATGATTCTTCTATCCAAAATATAAGAGTCTGTAATTAAATTTATTTTAGCTAATAAATGTGTGTGTGTGTGTGTGTGTGTGTGTGTGTGTGTGTGTGTGTGTGTGTGTGTGTGTGTGTGTGTGTGTGTGTGGTGTGTATGATATTTGAATTATATAATAAATATTGAAATATATAATTAGTGATAATAGATATGAAAAATTTATTGTATCCTATAAATATCAACTTTTTACTAATTTTGATTGTTATCAAAGCAGCCTCATAAATATATGTATATATGTATATATGTATATTTTTTTTGGTCTAAGCCATGTGTATAATAATTGCAAAAACTTTGTCAACAATAACGCGTAAAAAAAATATCGAAAGAATATATCGAATGCATTGGCGACAACGTTGGTAGATTAAACCTCGAATAGTTCCGCCATCACGCTTGAACGCACGGCAGTCCCGGTTGGTGGATAATTCGTTGAAGGAAGATACGAATGATCTGGTTGGGGCCAGAAATGGGGAAGGGGGAGAAACCGGGGAGAAACGAGAAGCTGCCTGGATGGCGTGGATTCCCCTCCATGGGCAAAATGGTCCCCCGCGTTTAGCTCCTACCTTCCGAACATTCTTTAGTACAGAGATGAGCTTTAGGAGGGTTTCTCTCTCCTCTCCCTTTCACCCTCCTATTTCTCTCCCTCTTCCCCTCCTCCTTTCTCTCTCTCTCTCTCTCTTTCTGTTCCTATTCGTTCATCGCGGCAGAACGCGTAAACATATTTAGAGTTATGACACTTTTAGGATCTCTGAGATTTAGAGTCTCAGTTCATTAAAAGATACAAGCGTATAATTCGTAGCTAAAAAGCTTGGGACAATAATTTATGTATGACTATGTCGAATAACTGAAAAAGGGATGTAAATCATCAATCAAATTGTTTTCCTATAATAATAATTATTATTATTATTCGCGTGCAATTTCTCAATAAATAAATGTTAATCAATGTATGTCAGTTGTAAAAGTCTGATGTATTATTTGACATTATACGAATAGAATATTTTCTCAAAACAATACAGTTATTACTAATATTTTCTCAACACAATACATATAATAATTATTATATAATTAATACAATACAATAATTATCGCTGAAGATTTATCAATTATTTTTGTCTGCATTAATCGTTTACCCGCTAACTCTCCAAGATTTTGCAACTAAAAAAAAACTTATTCTAAACAAGCTGTGATACATTAAGAGTGTTTTTTTAAAATTTAATTATAGTACATTACACAATAGGGAATAATCATCAAACGGTTTAGGTACAAAAAAAGATATAGATATTTTTGGCGGTTGATCGTGTTGCCAGTATTTCTATATGCTTATACAGCAGATCCTCCCCTTAAACGTTCGAGTTCCGCGTCGACGTTAAACTTGCGAGTACTCGCGTAGAAAGCGATGAGCGCGACTTGGCCCCGTGATAGTAAAGACGCAAGATCGAGCAACCGCGAAGGCCCGAAGTTGCTCCTCGAGTTCCGCAGGGGGGTGGACGGAAGGACGGAAGGGGAAAACGGGGAGGGAGACGGGGAGCGGGGAGAGAAGGGAGGGATAAGGCGGTTTTAATTACCGCTTAAGACACCCTCGTAGCGTTAACCCCGCGCCGTACAGATACTGACGAGGGGGGCCGCCCCTAAAGATATCGTTTGCAGTGCACGAAGGAGCAACTCCGAACTGGCAGCGAGGAGGACGTAGAAGTCGTGGGGGAATTTCGGGGGGAAGGAGGGGAAGGGGGAAAGACTAGGGGCCGGAGAACTTGTACGCCAACGTCGCACTCGATTCTCCTCGGTACGCCGGGGGTGGAAGTTCGTGGCAACCAACCCTACCGAGCCGCGAGAACTTTGCCGCTACTAGCGTGGCCGTCTGCCAGCTACTTCCTCGAACGAGTCACGTGGAGGAGGAAACGAAGGGGTGACTCGAGGAGGAGGAGGAGGAGGCTGTATCCCGGGTTTTGCCGCTTATACGACGATTATTACGGACGTTTTCGTTATCCCCGAGTTCCGGTGGGCGCTTGTAATCTGACATCATATATGGAAAGCATGATAAGCTATCTCACAATGACATCGGCAATCTTAATAGTTATTCGCAACTACTTAACGTCGTCGCTTCGTAACTCGAAAATAATGCAGAATAACAGTGCATGGAAAATACTTTTTGTCTTTTCTAAAAGTATTATTTTGTATAAGTTGCGATGTAATAGCAGACTACAACGAAATTTTTCGGAGAAAAATATTCCGTTTAAAATATGAAAAACAAGCTTTTCATATTATTCTTATATTAATAATATATTTTTCTCCGAAATTTCGTTGTAATCTGTTATTACATCGCAACTTATACAAAATAATATTTTTAGACAAATAATACTTTTAGAAAAGACAAAAAGTATTTTCTATTTTTAATCTATCGAAATTATTTTAGAAAATCCATTAAACGATTCGAACCCTAAGAGTAGCATCAAACGATGCGTCAACAAATAATTGTGTGATCAAGGTCAATGAACAGAAAGCGAAATAATTCCTTATCGTTAATCGTATATAAAATTACACAGTCAGAAGATAATAAATTATATGAAACATGATTCAAATCCAATCAAAAGGGGAGACAAACAAATAATGACTTTTTATCGTCAATTGTAGCGATATGTATGTAAAAATATATAGAACAGAATTGATTACATAGAATATAACGGAGCCAATAATAGCAGTGTGTCACGTGTCACATCGAGCCAGACTCTGACTCGGGTTTCTCCAGGCGGAGAGGAGGTAGTCGCGGAATGACAGTGGCGTATCTCGTGGGGGTGGCCGGCAACTGGCGTCGGGACGCCCGTCGTCTTATCGGGCACCCCCTTGCCTGTAGCTTCCTCCACCCCTCTCTCGTCCTCCTTTCGCTCTACCCTCGCCGTCCCCCTCACCGTCGTCGTAGCGAGCCCGGTGACGCCTCGACGCGCTCACCCAGAAACCGACGATAAGGTTCACCCGGCGACGCCTGCCTATACCGCCCGTTCGTCCACATACGTACACGCAAATACACACTTACACACGCAGGATACACACGCGCGAGCGCGCGTAGGAATTGATATAAGAAAACTGCGGGGAGGGGAGGGGGGGGGGGAGGTAAGCATCGCGAAACCCCAAATCGTGTGCGGCGTTATCACGCACGCTGACATCGATAATACATCGCCTATCTTCTTGTCGGGAAGGATCTCTGGCAAGAATTAACTTACTCGGCAATATCGCGAATGGATTTAGAAAAGATAATACGCTTATTCGCACTTCTAGCAAAAGCCACTATCCCGCAACTTGTGGCTTTTTTTTTATTAATCTTAATTTCAACAAAAGCACATCTTTAAATTTTTTGTAAGTTTTTCCATCTTAGAATGAATTTAGGACTAAATCAAGAGTTACAATGTTTAATATTCGATATTAAAAATATTACAATAGATATAGATACTTCTTAAAGTTCTGGAAATATAAGCCTTGCGTTTGATGATGTAAGCCAATAATAATAAATCTGATTCTATCTTTGAGGTTTGATCCATAAAAAAAATTCTTAGCATGAAAATTATCGTAACTTATAACATACTAAAAGAAGACTCGAGATTATCCGAGATAATAGCCGCTCGTGCGAAAGACGTTGATAATGGTGCACGATGCGTTTTATTATTACAGTAACCGAGCTCGAGGGTGGCGCGCACTCGGACGAGACAAACAGCGGGGGTGACAACAGCAATGCCGGCAGCGTGTCGGGTGGTGCCGACGACGATCAGGCGCGTCTCCGTCTAAAGAGGAAGCTGCAGAGGAATCGTACGAGCTTCAGTAACGAGCAGATCGACGCGCTCGAAAAGGAGTTCGAAAGGACGCATTACCCGGACGTGTTCGCCAGAGAAAGACTCGCCAGCAAGATCGGCCTACCGGAGGCGCGAATACAGGTGACTATTCAGCGCAGTATCGCACAGTTTTTTTTTTCACGCGTATTTAAAAAATGGATACATATAGACTCAGAGAAAAAAACAAGACACCAACAATTAAATTAGAAAAAAAAAAAAAAAATAAGAATATATTATGAAGTTGTAATAAGAAAAGATTAAATTATATAAAATAAGAAAACTGTCGTTTATAAATATATATAACAGAATGAGATAGAAGGGATACATAATAATTTAATTAATAAAAAAACATATTATTGATATATCATGTGTATTATAACAATAAATGATTAAAAAGACTTGTTTACTTAAGGAAAAAATATATTTGTTGTGTGTAAAGGCTATAGAATATATTTTAATTATTCTGTTATTTTATTATTATTTAGTTTCATACAATTCATAAAGTTATGCTAATGTTACAATTGTTACCGCAATTATATTTTGATAATTTATAATATTTTTTTCATTTCCTAGGGTATTCTTTATAAAACTATCTGCGAATATTATATAAAATTTCAGTTATTAATTTAATTGCTGGAACTATTTTATTTTCTCTGAGTGTAAAATAATTGAGACTGTAGAATATAAATAATAAAAATAATACGATTTTTGTATCGACGAAAAAATGACTGTAGTAAACATTTATCAAGTTATGAAAAATGTACTCATTTATGATCTTTTGCACCATACTGTAAAACAATAACTTATTTTGTTATTCTATTTACATGATGGTCTCTTATCTTATTTTAAGTTAATTATCGTTTCTGAGAACCTATTCTGTAATTCTTACATCATGTTATATGTATTATCGTTAAAAGTTACAGAATAGGCCTACTGGATTGTAAGGCATGGTGAATTTTTTAATTAACGATTTGCTTCTCGCTACTTATTCTAGTTTGGTATGAAAGTCTATTGTGCTTTCTAATTTTAAAACGCTTTGAACTTGTAGTCGTGGTTGTGTAAGGACAGCAGTTGGCAACTTTTGAAGGAGGAACATTTCTTATAGCTGTAGTTTCATTATTCTAATTTATATTTTATAATCGATATCTTGTGTCACTCCCATTAAGAATCAATGTCAACCAGTGATTCTGTGTCATTCTCACGCGCATATACAGGTCCATTATTTTATCACATAACATCAGATAAAAAAAATTACAATTGGCGATTTGAAAATTAATTACGACATTATTTGATTAAGAGATCTTCGCAACTGTCCGATCTTCGAATCGTTTGTTTCATCCATCGACTGTCAGCCGATATGAAAGTATCCGTAGCCTAGCGATTGACCTGTATCTTCGTCTGTCTTCTCGTTCACTAACTCAGGTCTGGTTTTCGAATCGGCGGGCCAAGTGGCGGCGTGAGGAGAAATTGCGCACGCAACGGAGGGATAATCCGCCACCGCCGCAGCAGCAACAGCAACAACAACAGCAACACACTGCCAGCGTGAACTTGGTGGGTGCTGGCCACCCGACGCCGCCGCCACCCTCGGGGATACTTGGGGGCCAGCCACCTCCGCAGGCACCACCTTCGCCCCCCAGAATACATCACGGTTTCGCGCCCACTGTGTACCCCGGGATACCCAGCATGCCCGATTCGTATAGGTAAGAACAAGGCGCGAAAAAATTGATTCCTGAAAGTTAAGCTATCCGAATGCAGTCAGTCTAATGATTAATTTTATTCTTAATTCAACTCAATTTACTTGAAAAAGTTAACATAATATTTAAAATAACAATTAAAATTATATCGCTATTTATATCGCTCGTTCTAATAAAATAACTCTCGGTCGTCTTTAATATTTCCAAATCGAGCTGAATTCACTTCATGTGATCTTTTAAGAACTCACATCAATGTACGATGTAACAAACAGTCAGTAAACTGTACTCTTGGAATCCCCATAAATGCTAGACAATAAGAATTTTTCGATTCACATTGTATTCGGATGGCGAACGGATGAAATCAAAGATGCAAGATATTTCTCACTCATTCATTCACGAGAATTTATAATTTCGCAAAGGGTTTAACGAACGTCTTCGTTCAAGCTACTTGCAACTTGAACGAAACAATGTCAGTGTCGCCCTTCGCAGATGATTATTTCCGCTTCGTGAAGACAGTCGCGCGAAAGACACGTGACGAAAGGTCGTTCTCTTGCAGCCCGATGACGTCGATGCCGAGCTTCACGATGTCGGGCGCGAGCCAGCAGAATCAGCACACTACGAGTAGCATGTCCTCGTTGTCCACCGGGGGTGGCATGAGCCCGATGGGCATGACCGTGGGCATGACCGTGGGACCGAGCCCCGGCGCGTGCCTCCAGCAACGGGACAACGGCTACTCGTGCGGGGTCGCGAGACCGCCGAGCTACGAGCCCCTTCACCTTGGCTACGGCGCCAGGCCCACCTGCAGCCCCACGCAGCCCTACCACGCGGCGAGCCTCAATCAGTACAATCAGAACGCCAGCTCGACCGGTGAGTGTCTACCGCACTCACTGCATTCGCTGCTTGCACTCTAGCCGATGGACTACTACTACGGCTACCATGGATAACACGCTATCGAGCCCGCCGGTAATGGATTATACACGCTTCTGTCGCTCTCCCTTCGTCCCTTCGACCGGACGATTCCGATCGCATTCTCCCTCCCTCCCCCTTCCCCCCTCCCCTCCCCCACGTCTCTCCCGCCCTTGCCGCTTTATGAGCATCAGTACTACAAATGCGATCTAACCTCACGATGTCCGTACGCCCACATTAGCCGCCTGAGCGCTTCTCGTTTCTGTTCGGTAGTTAGCGAATAGTAGAGGTTGTTGGTAGATTCGATGTGTGCAATCTATATTGACAAGACATTGTCGTACTTCTTGCAAACATACTGTTCACCCTGCCGTTATTATCTTGCTCGGGATACGGTAAAGGCGAGACCACTTGATCTCACGCGTCTTTCGCGTTACATTATTTATCCCTTAATGAAATGCTGAAATAATACTCTAATAAATAAAGACAAAAAAGAGTAACACACACGTATAACACTTAAAAAAAAAATCAGTAGCTTTTTTAAACGTTCGTTGTTATCCACTTTTTATCACATCTAGTGATATATAGTATAATATATTAAAAAAAAAACTAATTTGAGATATTAAATTTTCGTTGAGATTGCAGCTTGCATGTACAATTCTCGCATACTTTATGTTTATGCAAAACTAAAATAGAATACCATGGGTTCTCTTGCAGGTCTAATATCACCTGGCGTGAGTGTGCCGATCGCGGTACCAGGTCAACCGGCACCCGACATGGCAGCGCAATATTGGTCACCGAGGCTGCAGTGACCGTGGTGGTCGTCGATGTCGACCTCGTCTCCGTAGACTTGAGCTTCTTCATCTCCTTAGCTTACGGTCCGCCTTGCGTACGGGAAAAACGGTCGTGCGATCTCCGCGGGGATCCGCAGAAGAAATCTCCGGGAAATCCCGGCGTTATGATCGATCGCGCACGCGCGCGCGACTATTCCGTAGGATAAATCGAAGTGAGCTAACCGTTCCCGTGCATTTCGTTCAAGCCAAAGTTCCGTGCGGAAACCAGTTTGATCTGTCCGCGTCCGCTATTTTCGCGTTATCTTTTTCTTTTCCTTCTCTCGCCTTCTTTTCAGGCGAGCGCATTGTTCCGGGAAATTTTGCGGAAACATCACCGCGCGAATTCGCTGGCGCTTACCGATGGAGATCATCCGAGACACGAAGGTATCTCAGGTATCTTCGACGACGGCAAGGAACTTAATTTTTAATTGAAATCTAGCTCTATCGCGATTCCGTTTGTGTAAATTGTTGTGTGACGATAAATCGACGTAGTGCTCGTGTAATCGCAATACATAATTGCGGCGTTGCGTTACAGGCGGATTAAGCGATTACTTCTGTATAATGATGAATCTTATCTCACACATTCAATCAAATCAAGCTCCCGTTGCAGAAAATTGTTTATTCACACTTGCGATCGCGACACTTTCCCGATCATGTCCCTCACTGTTATCATAGACGAACGATTAATGCTGCTTCCCCGCACTTTTACTAACGGCGTTTGGTAATGCGCGAAGAGACACCTTCCCTTTTTACTTCGATGTCATATCAGGATCCAACTAGGATGTAACTTGTCGGTCACTAGGATGTAACTTGTAGGAACACACAACCGTTAGACGTATCGATACACCAAGTCAGTGACAATCTGTGATTTTCGTACGACACAATACATCAATGATCGGCAAGGTGGAAAATCTGCGAAAGTATCATCCGCGTATGCAATCCCTCTGTTTGTAAGCTGTTTTTAATTTGTACAATTATTACCTCTAGGCTCTAGAATACCTTTGAGACAGAACCGGACGAGGTGAGACGCGATTAAGAAAAAAAAAAACAAAAAAGAAGAATGCGAATCGTCGGCAATGTGCAACTCGTGTAAAAATAATTAAAGCGCGAAAATCGAAGAGGGTAGAAAATCCTGAGAATTCTCGCGGAGAGTTTTTATTCGCAACATTTCGTAGGTATAACTTCTACTAGGCAGAAAGAGAGAAAATAAAATAGTTTCTAAGTCGATATTACGTTATTATTTATACTCGTCAAACGAGGGTGCCAGGAGATAATAAACGTGCGTTTGTTGTGTGTACATCATAAGGAGAGTATCGACAGTCATTTATATATATATAAATATATACATAGTTGACTCTAATTCTCTAAATAACTTGGTAAAAGCCAATTCGTAATATTTATATTCTGTGCAAGGTCCGAGATAAACTATAAAGAAAGAAAGAAGGATTGTCGAAACAATGCCGATTGTGATTTCCCTTAGGCCAGGTATGTTAAGCGTACGATTATTCATTCTAAATAAATAGTGTGTGCATTTAATCGAGAGTTCTCTCAATGCTTGTTTTCTAATCGGAGAATTTATTTGCGAAATCCTAGCGTGTGTAACAATCGCACTCCCGATTGTATCAACTTTGATATCACAGGAGGCTATGCCAGAGTCTAACTGTCTCGCTGTCTAACATGGACGGAACGTTGATTTTGTCGAGCAAATGAATATAAAAAAAAACTATCGTGCGATTTCCTATTAGAAATCAAGCGCAGTTCCTTCCCGAACGTGTTCATCTCTTTCACATTCTCCCTCTCCTTTCTCTTCCTCGATCCGATAACTCATGTTTGTACTTATCCTTCCTGCATTGTCGTCCAATTGAATCACTTATAGGGAATAATGGAAAGCGGGATACAAGCAGAAAGAGATCATCGTTTTACCTTGCAAATGTAACAATTGTATATTTATTTCGACTTAATAATTAATTTACACTCGAAGACAATGTTGTATTCTCTAAATCCTCACTAGAAATCATCCATTGCGATCTGCCGCGGTTTAACCCTGGATTTCTTCTGAAAGAACACTTGTGGATAAGTTCAAATCAACAACAGACAAAGTTGTACTGATTGTAATTAATAAAAGCTGTTAATACAAACGCGGATGGTACAAAAAGTGCACACACTTAATCATTTGGACCTACTTAAAAAATTATGTCTTAAATCAGAGAATTATTAAGTATAGCAGGAGTAATCCAAGGGTTCAGCCAACGGATATAATTAACATTATAAAGTGCAACAGTATATAGTATAATATCATTATATAATTTTATGTAACTATATATTGTTATATATCATTTACATAATCATCATATAACAATATCATTATCATATAAGTTTCAAATCATAATCATGAATTTATTATCATATATATCACATATATATGATATCAAGTTGCGATAACTATTTTATATAAATATTTTAATAATATTATTATAGTTGTCACAAATCGATACAAAAAGAAATGCTTTCAGGATATGAAAAAAAATATATATATAATAGATACGTGTTCGAGTCGGTTTAAGTGCTTAATTTTTCAGATGTAAAGACATGCATAAATGTAGATATTGAAATGAGTTCACGCTATATTGTTCTTTTATTATTACATTTAGACATATCTACAAAAAAATTTATTATGCATTTCGTACTCTTAAAAAGAAGCTATACCAGTCCGATTATTAAATTTTATTTTATACGTGCACATCGTAAGTCTTTATCTGTAATTCATTATTGCAATTTTTCGCAGATTCCTAACATAGGAAAAGGAAAAAAAACAAGATCCGAGATCATGCAAAAAAGTGCAAATTAACGTAAATACTAAAAATAATGCATAATTTCCAATTCGTAATGAAAGGAATATGACATAATGTGATATAACACGATTTACTAGTTAAAGTTAAGGTAACAATGAAACTTCAATATTAACGATTGATTGAATAATCGTCTATAGATAACTTATAAATCATAACGACCATTTCTCGCGTGACAGTGACCTTTGTATAATCAGCATTTGTACAACTACTTAAGTATACTACTTAAGTATACAAATTATTTTTATGTAAAATGTTCTTAAACATTATGCAAGAAAGAAATGCGCACTGGGCATTCATTTATTCGCATGGATTCGCTTGAAATCGCTCAAATCGCGCTTTTCTATTTGAGCAAGTCCTCGATATCCCGCATAATGTCATCGGACGATGTGTCCAGTCTCAGGTACTCCTCATCAGTTTGCGTATACGGCTGACCGACATCCAATAACGCGGTGTTCATGATGTCCTCCGCCGTGAACGTGGCAACCGACTTCCAATTCTCCGTCATTTGCTCCGGCTGCGTCTGGGTTTTTTCCTCGTTCGTGCTGCTATCACACAACCTAATCTCCACGCCAACCCTTCTATTCGCGTTAACTAATTCGTCGCTCTCCAGTCTTTCGCGATAAGACGTCTGATCATTCTGATTATCCCTATATACATCCGCAACCGCGTCTTTGCACGATTGCGTATCGGTTTCCGTCGAAAGGATCTTTAGAGATCTTCGCAATTTTACCGGTCGTATCTTGGCAACAGGCTGGCCAGCTTTGACGGAATTGACTTTGCACTTCTTCGTCGGACTAGTACTTTCCTTGTCACCTTGCTCTTCAATCGAGCGCCTTTTCACGCCCTTCGTCTCGGTCGACGATAGAGACGACTCCAAAACGGACGTCGTACCTGTCAGTGCTTTAACAGCCAGCTCTCTTTCTCTCTTTCGTTGTCGAATCTCCTCCAGGCTCAACACCTTGAAACTCAATTCCGTTGTCGGCTCGTCTTTCCCGACTCCCGACGGGCTCGTACTGACCCATCGATTAGTCCCGGTCGTCTTGCCAACCTGTCGCTGATAAAGCTCATCATTGCCGGCTTCATACGAGTAATAAGCCGCACTCTCCGCTTGGATCTCTTCAAGTCTCATCTGCTCGTACGTCTTGCAATACGGTATCTTGGGCTGCGACTTTACCGGCGACGGTGCACTTTCGTTATCGGATTCTGGAAGAAACATACGAAGAATGATGGGTCAAATAACCGAAGACGTCACTTGGATGACGGTTAATATTACGCAACCAGCTCTCTCTCTCTCTC